ATTTGATTTAAATAATCACAATAATGGAATTGTTACGGTTCTTTGTGTTGGATATTACGGTGGAAATAGAGCTTGAAAATTATAATATTAAATTTCTCGTACTATAATACGCGCACTGATGTATATGTACTTATTTTTGTACATATACATAATTATGGGCAATTTGCCATTAAATTATATCACGAGGAAATTAATAAATAGAAACTGCCAGGCTATTTTCATTTTCATATCTTCTATCATCGAACATTTGCGCCTAAAAATATGCATAATTGATATCTAACAGTCCAAACATATGTCGCAAAATAAATACGCTACAAACCGGTTTGATGTGAACAAAATGTGAGGAACCAGAAAATTGCGTAACGTTTATCTTTGTAGTTTCACAGACAATGTTTGAATAGAGCATTGAAACAGATGTACTTTCGGTGAATTTCAATTTTGATACTGTAGACACGTGAAATGGATCTCAGTATTTATTCATGACAATGAAAATAGGGTAGTCACATATTTTATATATATATAATATTATAGACAAGGAAATAATGTCGTTATTTTTTCCTTTTTATAATAATAATTTGGTAATAACGTTGCAATTTTACATAACAATAAGTAATAGTAAGTGATTAAATAAATCTTGATTTTTCGCAATAAGTTCTTTATAGTGTTTGAGATGCTTATTAGCATCAGTATTATTAAATTACTTGTTAATTTTATTTGTAATATTATATGTACTTTAGTTTATGATGAGTGTTTTACCAACAAATAATTAATGTGCAATTTGTATAAATGAAATTTGTAAAAATCGTGCAAAAAGTTATTAGACATTCTTTGATGGAATAAGGCTTTCTTCGATTATTTATATTGCTCACATATCGATCGAACTCACTTATTATTATATGTATAGATACGCATACACTTATGTTGATTTAATATAATCAAAAATTAAATTTGTTAGATTGCAGAAACAATTTTAGCAATACAGATAATTTGCTAGTATTTTTGCATAAATTCACATTATAGAAATCGACTTTTTTAATCATTTTTATATAGATATATTGAGATAAAATTCGCGAAAAATAAATATTTTATGAGACATTTATTTCATATTGTGAATATATTACTTATATTCTGTTAAAATATGGAGCGTGTGTGAGTACATATTCTTTGTCCTAATATTTTTTACATGAAAGTTCTTTTTACTTTTTTGTTCATCAGAATATTTCCATGTGTTTTAAATATGTCAATAATATGAAATATTCTATATATTAATATATAGAAATTAATATATAGAAACATAGATTAAACTGTCGAAATTGTACTTTCATTGGCAGGAAATATAAATTTTCATAAAGTTTCTCATAAGATAAACTCCAAAAGAATCAATTTTAAACTTGTAAAAGGAAATGAAACATTTTGTAAGCACACATGATGATTAATCAATATTTTTGCAAACTCGTCGTAGACCTAAATATGTGTTTATATCCAAATAAAAATTATAGTCGATATCGATGAACTCAATCTTGACTCTTATGTTTGAGATTCGCAGTGATATTAAAATGCAACGAATGCAAACATTCACGATAGAAGCTGAATTCAGAGTGATCCGGACGAAATAATATTCATGAAAATATTTTTGCCTGTATAACTTGCAGAAGAGCGTGATCCTCAAATCCAAATACCCAGAATCCAAATAATATTTAAAAATACAAAAATGCGAGTTTGACCTGACAATAATAAAAATAGAGACAAGTTTTTATCAAAGATACAAGTCTAAAAATGTCGATACTACTGGTTTAATCATTTTAATAGTGCATTATTTTTATGCGGATATTTGTCTTATAAAATATCTTACAAGTCCAAATCATTTATTATTTTTTTATGCGAACAGTTTTATTTTATATAATAAATAATTAAGAAAAAATTAATATAATATACTAAATTAAAAAAAAGATATATCTTATTAAGAAATGAATTAAAAATTTTCAAGATAATTTTTAAATTAGAAATTTTTAAATTACAAAATATTACTTTAAAGGTCTCATCAAAACTTGTTTTTATATAGACTTTAATATATATGCGAAAGTAATAGTAACGGATGTACATCTTTAGATTCTCTCAACTAGACTATAATATCTCTAACTTCTCGATGTTAAGCTTGTATCGGGCCGCACATTATATATATATATTTATATATATGTACATACAACAAGCTCTTGAGCTTCTTGTCAATTTGCGTCGTTGGCACTGGCTTATATCACGATCCGTTTACGATCATTTATCGGCACCGACGTCGACATGGAACTTAAGGCACTTAGGACAAATCGTGATCTACGAGCGAAGCATGAGGGGCACGGCTCCGAGGGAGCGGCTCAACTTGCCTCAAGACACTTCGAGATAGCTCCCGTTCGAAGTGCCGTCACTAATTAAGAAATACTTCCCTTGACGCCTACCTTAACAGTTCAGGCGCGCCTGATTCTGACCTACACTCTCGCATGGCTGACCATCAACAACGTTCATCTACTTATCTCTTGAGAAAAAAATAAAGCTGTTTGCGTTTTTCAACATCTTAAGTCCGTATCAGACTGAGATTAGAATTTAACCGATCAAAGCAAGGTTTTAAATCTAATATTGATTTCCTTTCTTCTGATTAATGAAATTCCAATCCAATCTCAATCTCAATCTGATACGAGCATTACCGTAAAATACTCTGATTATACTATTTAAAATAAAATAAAAATTATTTTTCTTATAAAGAAATTTACAGCACAGCATTAACTACAGTTTTGCAATAATATTTTACAACAGTAAAAATTGATTTATCCAACATAAATCTGATCCTCTAATATGTTACTATAACTTTTCCTTTAATATATAATTAATATGATATTTCTGCACATTAATAATGTTGACTAAAACAAACATAATGTATATCAAATAGGCGCTCTATATCATTTTGCAAGGAAAAATTTTGTTGGATCACAGAGATACCCTAATTTCTTGTTTTTATGACAGCATGCTTTTACGATGAAACGACTTTTACAAACTTATATCCCTCGAATCATCTTGGGTTTAAATTGAATTAAAATCTAAAAGTTAAATGTAAGACGGCAGATCAAACTTATTGAGCAATTGCTTTTATATGCGCATCGAATATATTTTCAAGCAAATACGAATTCATGAAAGTTGGATTAAACCGTTCCCGAAAAGCGATCCAAATTACGTTTGAAAACCTTAGATTTAAACAGCGGCAATTCTTTCTAAAATTAGTGAATATGTGTGTTTTCGGGATTAATTAATCACTTTGAGATAAATATTGTAACGTACTATTCACACAAATGTCAATTGCGCGTAAGCAATACAAATGGCCATTTAAAAAATTAATCTAAAAGATTAATTTAAAGAATTAACATTCATAACTTTAAAATTTGTAATGCTTAGAGTAAAGTTAAATAAAGTTGAAGATTATTTATCAATTAGTTTTCAATTATTCAATTTAGTTTCCAATTATATTTAGTTAAATATAAGAGTTTTTTTAGGTTGCTGTATATACGAATCTAACATCAAATTGATAAATTCATGAAAGACATTTACACATTTATACATTTTGCAATAATCCAGACATTTATTAAATTTTAATATCTGTCGTATTGAATATACCATTTGGAATTTGCCAATTTTGATATCTCTCTTTTCACATTTTGGCCTAAAATATCCTTAAATTTAATTAAGTATAGTTATAATTTATAATTATATTTATATTGAAAACTATTTGTTAAATCACAGTAATGACTAATTTACAGCTTTTCTACAGCATTTCTTATTAATGTAGTGCTAATAATGAATGTCAATAAAAAAAAATTTTAGTTTTAATTTTCATGATACACTAATTGTAAATTTGATAAATTTGAGTTTAATATATAAGAATTAAATAATATCACTGTCCAACACTATATTGCAACATGAGTATGAATAATCCTATGTATTTTTGAATACGAATCCGTTGTCCAAATTTGATCGTCACGTCACAACTTTAAGAGAAATAGTATCAAAATAGCATAAAAATTATGATTTTGAGATCTTTATGACATTGTGTGTAGCACTGATAACAAATATTATTTCTAAATTTTGTTTTTATTACACGAAAGTATAAATACATTTTTGTTCGTTTTAATAAATCATTTTTCATTTTTGAGATATATTAATTTGAAAAAAGTTTTTTTCCCATGTATAATACATGCATTATTACACAGAAAAAGAGAATTATTATTATTAAATTAATATATATCTCGAAAACGAAAAATTTAAAAGAATCAAAACACATTTTAAAGTTAAAAGTTGATTCTTTCACGTAGCATTAATAAAAATAAAGAAAGACTTGCTGTCGGTATCACATCATGAATACCTTCAGAATTGTTGTTTTACATCTTTGACCATTTTTCTTGAAAATGCGAACTAATAATCAAAATTGAGTAACGGATTCGTTTTGTTCAGCCGACAAAAATATATCGAAAATGAAATTCACATTCGCGATACAAAGGAAAAAAAAGATCGAATTTTGCCCGGTTATTATATTCAAAGTCAATATCCTTTAAATAAAAAAAGACTTTTATAATTGATAAATAATCATTGATTTTATTTAACTTTTCCCTTGAATATTTCCACAATATTAAAATCATGGAAAATATGTAATAATGTAAGTAAATATTTATTTTAACTGATGTATATGTTTTATGGTCACATGTTTTTTTTAATTGCAATATATAACACTATTATACATTGTACATATAATCTGCCTTCAGATTATATTTAACGTATGACGTCCTTTGTCTTTTTATTATTGTTATTTAATTATTATGAAATTCTTGATTCTTTTTCGAAAAATTATTAAATTAAATATTAGTTAATTATTACATATAAATTAATGATTTCCTTTATTAATCCCGTTTTCAATTTTTCATTCATGAGTTCAATACTTTCAAAACACGATTTAAAAGACTCACCTTTGACGCGCCGGTCGACTACAGATGCTAGATGAGAGCGGATGATCAGTTCAGTATCGCAGCACGCAGCAGACACGAAGGAAGCAGTCACGATGAGCGCGTACTGAGTTCTTCTCTCTTGGTCTCTTGACTCTCTTGGTTCTCTCTCGGTGATTCAAGATTCGTATGATGTAGCAGGAATAGTGCGTACCAGAAGTCGAGTTCCGAGAAGTCACTGCGATCGCGGTTCGTAGTGGAGGGTTCTGAGGGAGAAAAGCGTCCAGCAACAGCGATAGCGATAGCGACAACGACAGCGACAGCGACAACGAGGGCGATGATGAAAGTGATATGATGTACTAGGAGGAGTGCGTGCCAGAACTGAACGCCGAGAAGTCACTGCGATCGCGGTTCGCGGTGGAATGTTCCGAGGGAGAAAAGCGTCCAGCTACAGCGACGGCAACGACGAAAGTGAGGGGCGCACAACGGGTAGACGAGAACAACCCTCTTTCGCTGCTATCACCACCGACACCACTCTTGCGTCTCCTCGCCACGGCATCGGGCGCGGCGGAAACGCGCCGTCGCGACGCCGCCTCGCGAATACGCACGCGCCACGACGCCGGAGGTGGCCTCCTGGTCGCCGTATGTGTACATACACATACGTTTTCCTGCACGCGGGTTAAGTCCACTTCGGACTATGATAACAGCCGACAGGGTGGGACGGTTTACTCTTGCATTAGATAAGGGATAGCTACCCTATTTCGACTGTTGAAACGATATTTCTCTAAATTCCGTCTACCGTTTTGCACTTTGCATTTTTTTGTAGCCGCTGCAAGAATGTCGAAATATTCGATTACTGTAACTTTTTGTATCATTGATGAAAGTATTATGTAAAATTAAGTTAATATAAAATAAAAAAGATTACATTTTCTATACGTATGATAAGCATTATCAGATTCTAAACATTTTTAAATATCGAAACAATTATTTAATAGGTTAATCCACTTCTAGTCACTTCTAAAATCATCATAATATTTCACACGCTTGACATTCTTAATATTCTCCATCTAATTTTTGCATCTCGAAGTTCTTATTTCAAGTTTAATCGGGAGATGACTTGCCACCTGTCAGATCGAGCGATTAATCGAGTAAGTCTCGAAAAGCAGCACAATGAGATACCCATACATACGCAGGTCCAGAATTTGTCGGATTTCTTTGTAACGGATGATCGTTACCTTGTTTTCACGAATTCATGATCCGATATTCTTCACGATAAACGGAGACACGAGCTTGAAGAACCTCTTTTGACAATGCAGATTCAATTAAAAGTCTCTTCTGGGTATGAAAACTTTTTCAATCAAACTGATACGTGCTAGCGCGCCCTTTTTCGCCGCAAGATTTTTTTCCCTGGGCAAGGGTCCAGGACCCTAACGCGATCGGATAGTAATTATGTCGGTATCAATTTAACAGTTTTCGACTTTCGTTCACTTCGCCTCGCGGAATAATTGATGAAGAGCCAATAGCGAGGTTTCTTCCTTCGAAGTAGATCAAGTAAAACAATGTTTATTGAATTTTCACAGTTTCCTTTTTCCAACGTGAATTTTGTCGCAAAAGTAAGTTCTAACTTATTATCGTACTGTATTTAATAGCATTTATCTATTAAACTTCTCTTTGAAAAACATATTATAATATTTATAAACTTTTCTATTTTACTTTGCAAGATGTATATAAGTATGTATTATATGTTATATTATTTCTTAATTATAGTTACTAAAAATACGAAGATAATAGCAGAAGAACAATGTGAAAAATCTTTTGCTGTGCTGAGAGATAAAAGGCGAGCGGGAGATTTCATAACACCTAAAATCGATAATTTCAAACAGGCATTCTGTGACGTTGCGGCAAAATTGCACGATGCATTTCCTCGGCCTCGTGTAAGCCAAGATGTACTTGGCTTCGTCTAACGCGCTAAAAGTGTGTCCATGCCTTTAAAGACTACACAACTTTTCCACAAAAAGTTTCTTTCTCCGCGAGAACTTTCCTAGAAATGTGCGAGAAGCAGAATCGCGTTTGAGAGTATGTGTTTGCAGAACGATATGACGCGACGCTCGTAATGACGAGCGTATTAAGTAGCAAGTTCTTTTTGGATTTTTCACGATTTCCATTTTCCGAAAATTATAACGAAATCACGCGCGACTCGATAAATTTAATTTCAAAAGTGTCACGGAGTTGGAGATCGTATGTTTGCGTTTTTTTTTTACATTATCAGAGAAAAAAAATTCTTTCAGCAAATGCTTCTTCCTTTTCGTTTGAAAGGATTTTTTTACGTGTAGCCTTGCTTTCCTTTTTTATTTTCTTATTTTCACGTCTACTGCCGCTTTAATATCCATGGTCCCCCGAGTTCGTTTCCACGGCAGCCCGCGGCGATGGATCAAACTGTTTAATTTGCTCAAAAGGTTTGCAGAGTTACAGAGTTTTTCTTCTTTTTCGTTTTTTACAGAGTACAGTGTGTCGATGTAATGCCTGCGCGTCCAATAATGTGCTAATAAACTTGTGAAAAGTGTCAGTTTATTTGTAAAGTTTAGCTGTTTATATAACAATGTACTATGTGTATTTTATATAATACTTTTATATAATTACTTTCACTATTTTCATTGTATGCCTACTGAATGATTGTTGAATGTATTCTTCTTACTAGCACATTCTACAAGCAATATAATTATAATGTTTTAAAATACTATAAACATAATATTAATAATTTTAGTTGCCATCTTATTAAATTAAAACATATAGGATTATTATTAATAAATAATAAGGTATACAGGATGAATCACAAATTAATATCTTAAGAATTATTCGGAAAAATTCTTAATAATAATACATTGTGTATAAATTATTTGCATTTTTAAAAATAAATGTTTAAAAGAGAAATCAAGAATATTTTAAGATTACTTGAGAAATGTAGATTTACCTTAACATCTGTTACGTAAAATAGCATTATTAATAATAAATCTCTTAAAAGTAATATTCAAAAATTAAAAAATTAACGACGCTTTCAAATATACGTTATTAAAATTATACCTTTTTTCTTTCTCATTAGTTCCACCAATAATTTTTCCAATATCTTGATTGATGCTAAAATATTAATTTATAACAAATTAAGTGACGCGCCTTGTATATTAATAAAAAATGTTACATAAATTGAATATTAAAATAGTTATTCATTGAAATTAATGGTCATTCGCTAAATTTGTTTTATTGTCTTTATCTTTTGCTCTTTTATTATTGATTTTCGATAATATATTTTTCGTAAAAAGTCAATTTAGAAAATTAAATACATAAAAATTGTTCCTTGTTAATCATTTCGAGCGCATCTATCCTGCCCCTATTTCTCTGAAAAGACAGTTAGTATTCTGATTGTGCTGTTGATGTTATTCAAAATTTAAGAAAATAACAGAGAATGATCTTGAAGTCAAGCTTCTTCACAGGAACATGTGATAAATTGGCTTATCAAACAGATGTAGACTGACACGACATATTTATCAAGTGAATATATTTAACATACATTGAATTTGTCGACGTTGAACATAAAACATATGTACAAGAACTTGCATAAAAGTGCATGAATCTTACTCCGTCGTGTGAAATATTCTTTACATCGTGAAAACATACATGATTCTGTCATTCTTGCGCAGTTTCCATCAAAATTATTTTCGCGCTTCATAGTATGTTCTCTAATACTTTTAAAGTAAAGTGTCATTCTAAAGAGTGAAATCTCACTCTTAAAGATTGAAAATTGAGTCACTCTTTTTCAAGATTCTCTAAAAAAATCTTGTTCTTGAATTGATTAACGTTTTAATGATACATTTTTCTGTTATCTCGGAAAATTACTAGCTAATAAACAAAAAGTGACTCACTGTGTTTGATACTGACTGGCCAACATTATTAGAAGCCGGTTCTTGATTTATTTTTATAGTAATGTTTTGCGATATAGTGCTCTGTGAACGTCCTTATATTTGCTGGATAATTAATTATAATTAATTAAAATTGTTTGATAAATTAGTTCTCCGTAATCTATTTTACGATATTTCTTTTCTTTTTTTCTTTTCCTTTTTCTTTCACTCTTTTTTAATTCCGACATTTAAATTTTCTCGATGTAGGGGAGCTCACCATGACAGGATAATTTTTATTCACAGTTTTTATATATGTTAGTTTATGCTGTCTCTGAGGAAGACTCAAAAGTGAGTCGAAACATGTAAGCGCATTTTAGTGAATAAAGAAGTTTCACATTTCATAGAAATATTATTTGCGCGACGATTATCTTCTACGCTTGACTTCTACTGTCTGTATCCTTTCTAGTTCTTTAAAAAAAATTTAGAAACTAAATTTAAATTATGTATAAAAACATTTGTTAATAAAAACAGCTAACAAACAATGAATGAAAGATTGATTCGATGTTGTAGGAAAAAAACAAATGGAAATGTCAATTGGATCGAAAAGTATTGCCGGATTTTCAGCGACGGTGTGTGAAGTTGTCCTAGAAGTCCTACAGGAATGTGCGGACTCATTGGCCGTTTACCAAAACATCTTACGACAACAATCGACAATAGAAGATGATGATGCCACTAATATTTTCCCAAATGTTAAGTATGTTTTGCGGATATAGTGCAATAAACGCGACTGTATTATGACTTGTCTGCTGTACATATATCCACAGGATTTCGGAAACGTCTATTCTGCAAACGCTTGCCAGAGGCGCCGCGGAAATGACGGATTCACGAAGGGAGGCTGCACGTGAAAAGCTTCTACAAGACAGGTTGGCTTGTTTAATCTGTCCATAAGCCTGTTTGAAAGACCGACATGTGGTAGTGGCGGATCAGCCAATAGACTACGATAAAATAGAACCTCAAAACGAAATTAATTACATAATTAATAAATTAATATTTGCTTTATGAAGAAATATAAAGAGCAAACAATTTTCTTCTTTTATTTGTCACATGCAGTATCAAATAAACATTAATTTTTAATCGTATAAATATTAAAATATTATGATAATAACAGTTACTATATATTTTTTATTATTCTTTATGTGCTGCGATTCAAATAATTATTATCTGCACTGTCCTCTAATTAAACGTAATTTTGTATGTTTTCGTTATTTAAATATGAAGATTTTATATGTAGAATATTCATTTATTTTAATTAATAAAAAATTTTAATAATTGCATTTTATTATTATTGTCTTAATAATCATGAAATCTAAATATGTTTTTTAATTGTGACCGAGAAAATTTTCAAACTATTTCGATCCGTTACTGTTAAGCAATACTATTAATATATCATGCAGATCTAATAAGTAAATTCAATTATAAATAATTCCACTCATCCTCTCAAATATCTTTTACATTCGTTTTTTTTTAAGTATGAAAATAGGATCAAAAATATAATAAACGAAATCTAAAAAACGACGAATCAAGTACTGCAAGCAAACAATAAAATATCTTCAAAGTCTAACAAAAATTTATCTTTCTCATGATTGCAAGATTAGATTTTAACTCATAAAATAAAATGTATATTAGTAAGAACTATGCAATAAAACTTAAAAATTTTTAGCATATAATTTAGCATATAATTTATGTATATTTACCAGCAAAAAAGTTGCAATACTTTTCTTTCGATGAGTTTCGAAACTTAGCCTTGTTTAGTTATAGAGCAGTTGAACGTAAATGAGATCTATAAGTAGGAAATCAATCTCAGCGAGTAGGCTACATTCCGAAACTCATCGAAAAAAAATGTTGCAACCTTTTTGCTTGCACATATATGTATATACATATTACAGGGTGCGTCCAGATTATCGAAATCGAAACTCGAACCGAAACCATCGAGCAAACTCGAGCCACGAGTATTTCGACTGACTTTTATTGTTTTTTACCGAGCCGCGTAACAAATGTTTATCGAAATACTCGCGGCTCAAGGTTCGGTTCGAGTTTTGACTGGATAATCTGGATATACCCTTTAACATATCCATTGTATTGATTAATACGAGTAGCATTGTTATTTCTTTACCTTTAAAATGAAAATTCGTGAGTTTTACATTATATATAATACAAAATATCATCAAAAATATACATTATACATACGATATATTATAGCATACGATATATCATAAGATTATATTAGAATGGCGTTTAAAAAATTAATACACACGAAAATAAATTATTATACACTATGTCATCTTTTATAGTAATTTGATTAATTTCGTATCTTACTATACAAATAATATTTTATATTTTAATAAATATAAAATTCATAAAAAAATTATATGCTTTTAATTAGAATTTAAGCAAAATTCTTCTTTTATTAGCTATATTTGACTTTAATTGTTCAATACTTTTCAGAAATATGATTTTTTAAACGTGCTAAGATGTATATATATATATATTTTACTGGACGTCCAAAGATTAAGGTCCGGTTTTTCATTATCTAGTTAACTTGTGGGTAAGTTTAACCTGATATTTCATCCAATAGGCTTCATCCATGACATCATCATAAATGAAGCCTATTGGATAAAATATCAAGTTAAGCCTAACTATAAGTTAAGCAGATAATGAAAAATCAGATTTAAGAGATATCGTTTACGTTATAGTTTATATGTGAGCAGTATAATAGAAGACTTGAAGCGGGAAATTAGCGAACATGGAACCATCGATGTATTAATCAAAGAAATCGAGAGAATTACGTCACAAGAAGAACAAGAGCATCTTTTAATAGAAGAGAATGAAAGCATGCAAATAATCGTGGCAGAGTTACGAAAAGCAATTGCCGATAAAAAAACAGCAAATGAAAAGGAAGAAGAGCGTTTAACAAAGAAGCTTACTTTGACACGGGTAAATGTTTCATAAGTCGGAACGTTTACAAATATACACAATAATGATAAATCATGAAATTTTATCGTTTAATCATTGTACATAAGTAGAGTTACGTTAAAATGAAACTGGTTGGCAAAATGTTTAGGACGAGAAGGAGAAGCTGAAACTAATTAAGGACGTGGAGATAAAATATGTCCGAGTGTGGGAAGCGGCACGTCGGGAGCAGTATGTACTACGTTATGAGTTGAAAATGGACGAATTGAAAAAGACATTGAATGATCATTGCGTGCGCGAGAGAAATGAAAATCACGTGAATGATGTATTAATGCGTTATCTGACGCGACGTATAGCGGTGAGAGTAAATTCTTTCTCAGCTTCTTTTTGTTTAAAACGAGCAAAAATGTCTTACAGACATCTTTTACCTTTTACTTAAACAGTCAAGACTTAAAAGGGTCCGTCATTAAAATTAAGACGGACACTTAAGCGATCTTGTAAATTCTTCAGCGAAAAAGCTTAAAAGGTTGCTGAAAAATGTACTTTGAGATCGTAGCCATTTTACGATTTTTCTTTAGCGGATATGTTAACACAAATTTGGCGTTTTTACTAAATGTCAAGCATGAAATAAATTTCGTTAAATTTAAGATGAGTCACGCTCTTGGAAAGATAACAAAAATATTTACTTTGAATTTACAGCTCATCGAGACTCGGATCGAGCAATGGCGACAGAGGTACGATCGAGAGAAGAAAATGTATGAGAAGGAGATCCGTAAAGTACGCAATGAGATTGGAAATGCTCAGAAATACTTGGAGGAACTTACGACGGAGGTAATGATTCAAAAACTGTACGACAGTGCGAGAAATATTTTGATTTCATTCCGCGCAACAGGAACGGCGGACGCAGTGCAGTAAATCAATTTGTATTCCGCCGTTCATTATTTTGACCATCGCTACTGTGAATCTTAATTGTTGGATAAAGAGGATCCTAAACGGTGCAACAAGCGTAATCACTATCTTATTTCGCATTCTCTCTGTGACTATTTGATTTACTACGTTACGTCTCATCTATTGACAATTAAGCTCGGATAACTTGGCCCGCATGAATTTAAAGGGCGCGCTGAAGTTTCGTTGGGTAATCGATAATTCGTGTCAAGAACGTGTCTGAGACTCAGAAATGTTAACGATCGTTATTAATAGGTGAAATTTCCTCGAATTCTGGGCTCTTGAGATCCCTTCACATGTTTCAGACCGGTTTACGTTTAAGCGAGAACTAAACCATTGACCGGAAGTCTGTAGATTAATTTCTCTTAGCTTAGGTATCTACATATATAGGAATGTAGTAGAATTCGTAAAGCCAACAAGAGCTAGAATGCATTTTATGTGTTCGAATATGTATTAAATTATTTTCTACATTTTCGAATTACCTTCGAACACAAGGAATCACATCTTTTTTTTTTTTAATTCTTTTTAATTATATTACGAATTTTAATTTTTTTTATATTCTGAATTATGTATATCAATCTCTACTTAATAGTATACTAATATATTAACATTATTAATAAATTAATATAGAAAGACTGTCGTGATAATTTTACAGATCTATTTCTACAAATCGATTTCTTCACAAATCTTGTGAATTTTAATCATTCATAATAAAAATTTATTTCGAATATAAGATACACAATACTTACAATTCCTAAAGGATGTATAACTGTAATAAGACATACACACAATTTTCTACATCAGAGTTGTCCAGTTTAGATCTTATACCTTTTAATTGTACATTCGTATATGTAATGGACAAGATCGAACCTTCCCTTCTTACTTACGAAGATACACGATTGCGTAAAACCCCGTGAATCTTATATAAAACATACTTATTTCTGAGAAAGACACTCGGGTTCAATAAAATATGTCGGTAAATTCGCGTTGAAACTGGATACGGTATTTGTTGCAGTATTGCAATAATCAGGAATTCATCGACACGTACCTCGCGGAGCAGGAGGCACTTCGAAGACAAAAGGAGCACGAGGATCATGTGCGCCTCAGTATAATTAAGATGCAAGCCTGGTGGCGAGGTGTTATGGTGCGTCGAAAGCTGGGGCCGTATCGATCTGAAGAGAAAAAGAAGAAGAAGTCTGTTAAAACAAAAAAATAACTCTTCCTTCTGCTCGGTTGAGTTATTCTTAATCATAATGCATCGTTCTAATTCATTTAATTTAATTGAACAATGAAATGACTATTAAAGATGTATTAACGTAATTTTTAACAAAATAAAAAAATTATTATATCTAACTTATTTTACAATTAAAAAATATATTTACTTACCTTGAATACATGTAAATATATCAGATACTTCAAATCATCTTATTAAATCATATACTAGTGTTCTTGACAATCTAAAGTGTATTATGAAATCTTTATTATTATAATTAATGACAATTTTTTCAATATAATATTCTATTTTTATATGTTTTATTAGTTTCATAAGTTCACGTAAAGAATATATTATTTGTATTCTTTCACAATCTAACAAATTAGTCATAGCAGATTAGATTTTATACTGATATAAGTAATACTAAATCTACATACTAAAATATTTCGTATCATCATTATCTTCAATTGGGAATGTTCCTAATGGTGGAAATGTATTAATATCTTCGTCTTTATCAGATGAATCTTCCATTTCCACGTAAATAATAGTAGTGCCATTTCATTATAATTCATTATAATAATCATAGGAAAAATCCCTTTGAAATTCCCGCTAAAAAATATAATATGAAATTTTACACATTACATAAAGCTGATATTTTATGTGTTGTACAACAAGACTTTTTAAATCAATTGACTACAGGATAAAAAAGTTCTTGGATTTCTGTCCGGCAGTCAGTAAACAGATTTGAGAAGTCTTATCGTACAACACATGAAATATGGACCTAATACAAACAGTAATATAAATTATAATAATAAGAAAGATGAATACTTTAGTATTTACTTTACTATTTTTTATTGTTGAACTGACACTTTCAAAATTTAAAGTGAGTGGACACTTTCAAAATTTAAAGTGAGATACATATATGTTTATAATAATATGTTGTATTATTATAATAATAATAATAATAATACCAACAGTTTATAAGACTTTGGGAAACATGTACTTCAATACATTCATCTTGGAGCTTATGGATTATTATCCTCAATGTCTCAGAAATAATCAACGAAAGTATGTTCGGAGCTATGCATACTATAAAACTCAAAGATGTCGATATAAATGTCCAGATACTAAGAAGCATAATGTGGCAGCTAATCTGTTAATAATATTTTACATTTGTTAATATAAAGGTATATTAAAAAGAAATATTACAAATTCACTTTTCATTAGGGCTTATAGCTTGACGCATTACAATGTCTTTTTTTTTTGTACGTGAGGAGCAATATGGGCTAATAGTTCCTTAAAAAGATCTTCGTCCATTCGATAATCATTTTTGTAGGACATAGAATCTTGCAAACAAGTAAAATTAATATATGGCCAAAATTTATTTCTATGAGCATGAATTAAATATCGGATACATGTAATACAAAAAGGTGTATTGATCCTCTTTTTTCTACGTTTAATAAAAAGAGATATATTTTTTTATGGTCAAATATACAGATATTAGTGATATATGCTTTTATATTTTCAATATCAGAATATACATACAAGTAACATAAATCAAAGCTAACGAGAGTCAAACGCAGATGATCAGACGTAACATCTTAAAAAAAATAATCAAATTATGAATTCTCTGATAAATCCTCATTTTATGTTACGCATTATATATTGTATATATATATATATATATATATATATATGGATATTCATGAAAAAGAATTACATTATGTATGTGCAATGTCGTATTCATTTATTGATACTATATTATTACCTAAAATGGCATTGGACGTAAGGAAAAAGTGCTACTATGGCTTCATATCGATATAACTATTAAAGTTAAAAATCTGTACTTTATGTATATTACAGATTTTTAATACTGGTGGTATATATTGGAACACGGCCTACATTGCATGTGTACATAACACAATTATATTTCTAAGGTCCGATTCTACAAATATAAGATTAACTTCAATTACGGTTTATTTTTTTTTCAATTTTAAAATTGAAAAATGTTCCAAAATAAATTTTACATTTGTGGAACCGACCCTAATACACGTCCCTGCTAAGATGGTAATGTAGGAAACGGAATAAAAATATCGATAATTAATTGATCGAATTTCCTGCATGATCATATTAACTCAGAGGGCGTAAGCATCTTATACATTGGAAATAAAAATCTAATATCGACTTTGATCAACTTCAGCCTTCGCTCCAGCATTCTCTTAAGTCATAAGGAATAGACGAATCATCAATTATTCTCCTCGCACTTAATTGTAGTCAATTTCTTACGGCTTAAGAGTGAAATCACACGGTGCGGAAAACGCGGAATAGAGAATGCGTAGATAGCTTCATAGAAGCAATCAGCGTTTTTCTATGTTTGTTATTGAATAGTGCTAATTGGTTATTTTAATGACGTATTCTCTATTCCGTAATCCTTTTCCACATCGTGTGATTTCACCCTTAAGCCGTAAGAAATTGACTAGTCAAGGCTTAAAACACCTATTGTAGATCCGGACTTAACCTTCGCCATGTGAAATACATGAATAACGAATTAACTTAATTACACTTTTGTGAATAAATATTGCATGATGTTATTAAATATTGGGTCATCTAAAAAGTATCCGCGGTCTTTTGTCACTAGATGGCGTTGACCATCAACACCATCTAGTGATAAAAAACCGCGGATACTTTTTAGATGACCCAATATATCATATCATATAGATAATGATATTATCTACGTACGTCGAAGTAAATCAGGAAAATATTGATATTGTTAAGAGCCTATAGTTCCCGTCGAAAAGTTTATAAGATGTGACACCAGAAAGCAATACAGAAATTCTGATTACAGAAATATATTTAAGAGAACCTTTGTAGAATAAGAACGTTACGATCGGCGACATAAAAGAACAATGGATAAGCTGAAGCAAGAAATCAGCGAAGTAACAAAAGGTATACATTCAATTTTCAAATGAGTTACATGAATAGTGGTGAAAATTTGGAAGAAATTGCCTAGATGAGTGACTTATGTGATAATAAGAAAATTTTTATATAATTCTCTTGATGTCGCAGGTTACTTTTTCTAATTTCTTTCAAACTATTTATCCCACCATTCATACTATTTATCGCTATGTTTACACCGTGCATTTAGGCCGCGGCCTATACAATAAATGTCCTTGTTTAGTCAAAGTAAGTTAAACAAAAATACCTATCGCATAAATCGTAGCCTACCTAAGCGCACGGTGTAAACGTAGCCAATATATAATCAAAGCTCTCAGTTTTCTTATGTAGTACACAGACATAGTTCGAGTATACAAGATTATTGTAAATATACAGTACTTATAATTATTATTTGGGAGTACAAATTAGTTCGGTTTATTTTCCAAAAGATGGTTCCGGCTGTTGTTCATAGTGACAACTGATTTTTTCTAAATTGATCAACGAAGCATTAAATGGATCATATCTAAGTACGCTGAGTTCATTCGGAGCGACAATGAATAGCTCCCGAGAAAAAGAAAATAATGCTATAATGAAATTATCTTAACTGACAAACTAATTTAAAATACTAAAAATAAAAAAACCTGATAAACTAAAAGGACTACTATTTAGATTTCCAAAATCGAACCAAAGCTATGCGCATATAGGTAACAGCGGTAAATAGAGAAAATGAAATAGAGATAATAAAAATGAAAAAAGAAATTATTTTAAAAAACCAGATGGCCTGCGATATAGAGAAGAAATAAAGAGGTTTGCTCATACTTTATATTATCATGCTCCAAGAGCATGTGGTCATTATAGGTTAGCATGCATCCTGATGATGCATTCAATGTTCCGCTATAAGGGTGCATTCGAGGAGACGCTATAAACGCTACAGACGCAAACGCTACAAACTTCGTTTGGAGAACCAATAGCACGATAGCGTTAGTAAGTTCCCCAAACGCTTTACGCAAAAAATAAATTAACGTACACTCAACATGGTCAACGTTAATACAAGCGAAATGAATAAAAATTGCATATTAAACCTTATCGCTTGTGTTTCAAACGAATTAATAGAATCATCATCATCATTATTCGATAGCGAGGAAGAATTGGACATACTTAATAATTTGGTAACAGCTCGTCGGAGGAAAGTTCCAAAGCTGAAAAATTATGTAGAAGAAGTTATTCCTAGAGGAAGAGATAAACAATTTAAATCACATTTCAGGTAATAATGAATAATCCGTTTTTGTTTAACTTCAATATACTTACTTAACTTATATTATATAATTTTCACGTTTTATATATTTTGCAATATGATGAAAATTATTTTGATTTACTTATTTATAATAAATAAAGTAAAAAGTTTTTTCTGCATTTATAATATTAGTTTATATTTTTCATAGAATATCCAGAGAAACGTTTGAGTTCGTACTCTCAATAATTGATCATAAATTGCAAAGAAATCCAGGTTTACAAATGATTTTTCCACAAAAACAGTTTCTTATCGCTATTTGGAAAATGGCTACTCCTGATTCTTACCGGTTAATATATCTTATCGAATGATTGGATAACATTAAATTTTTTATTAATAACTTTTTTATATATTAGATCCAATATGCGAAAAATTTAACGTCAGTCCATCAACAGCGTTACTAACAACACGAAGAGTTACTAAAATTCTTGCAAATTTGGTAGCAACATTTATTAAGTGGCCAACAGGAAATGATGTTACAGAAATTTGGACAGGATTTGAAGCAAATAGTTCTTCTCCATAAGTCACAGACGATACTCACATCAAGATTCCATCTCCATGTGTTAATCCAGAAGCCTATATCAATCGGAAAGGTTACCATTCTATTCAACTACAGATTTGTAATGTGCATTTAACATTTCAAGTAGAAAAAATCATTCCATCTGATAATATGTTTATTTATATATATTCTATATCTTACAGATAATTTGTGATCATAAGGCTCGTTTCATCCGCTATGTTGGACATGCTGGTTCTATACACGACCAGCGTGTCTTTCGACACTCTCAGAAATCCAAGATAAATTGGGTGATCCGACAAAATTTCCTGATGATTGTCATTTAGATAGTGATTCTGCATTTAAACTTCATGACAATTTAATGGTTCCTTATCGCGATAATGGCCACTTGTCTGAACGACAAAAAAATTATAATTTCTGTTATTCTTCAGCGCGAATTAGTATTGAAAGAGCCATTGGTCTTCTAAAAAAATCGATTTCAAAGTTTATTACAATGTCTTCCTAAGACTGACTTAATTGCACGTTTTATTCTTATCTGTTGTGTCATGCATAATATTTGTATAATGAAAGGTGATGATTTAAACGTTCCTCAATTAGATGATAGAAAATGATATTTTCAGAATATTTGGACAAATTATGCCTTTATTTCCAGAGTAGTAGTTTTGTGTTATGCTTTCCGCCTACTATTTCAGTTAATTCTCTATAAGAAAATTATATAATTAAACACAAGTATACATATATATATACATATATATA